GTAAGCTTGTAAAGTAAATTTTAAGTAACCTTGCTAATGAGACACGGTTCGCAGTAATCGGTGAATTAATGTGTGATTTAATAACTAATACTGAGTGCCACTGAACTTTGATTTATAACTTTGGGGTACTTTTGGGCATTTATGAAAGCATACAATTCATTTATATATTCAGTTTATTAAACCATTATAGTGGTAGAATATTATCTATAGATTCAATTGTACTTGGTGTACTTTATAAAGTACGGTTATAATACAATACAAAGTTTACTGATCAGTTTAGGGAGATCAATTTACATTTTACATCTATTACCCCCTCTGATTGGCTACATGTGAGACAAGTGTTTCGATATTTCCTATAATAATATCTTAACAATTTATTCTCGCTATAAATTCGTTGAATAATTGTTTAGTTAATAAATAAAGTATGTAAATAATAAGTAAGGTTAATTTCTAAATTTATATGGACAAAATATTATACAATTTATTAAATTTATTTTTTAACAATTACCGTAAAATTAACTAATAATATATTCATTTAGTTATGTATGCAGTTTATTGTACAAGTAATTGTTTGTATAATAATTGTTTGACAACAGTGTCTTAATTTTGATTAGGTTTATGTTAGCATTTTGTATTATAAGGACATTTTGTATTATAAGTAAATATGCTACTGATAATTTCTCATAGAATAGCCACTTGACCTTAACATTGGTGATAAATTATTAAATCAATTTTATTTATCAATTTTTAAAAAACCAACGTGATATTATTATTTGAAAATTGTCTAGATATAAGTTCTAATAAGTTAATTGAAATAACAATCATAATCAAATTAAATATATTTCATAAAATTTTATTTATTTAATAATTTAAATTGTAAGTGAGTACACAGGTATTAGTGCTGCTGTACAATTTGTATTAATATAATTAAATTAAAACCAAAATATAATAAATTGATTTTAAATTTTATTTCAATTTTAAATCATATAAAAAAGTTTCTTTTGAAACTGATTCACATCATAATATTTATTTAATTATTTAGTAAACATTTATTTGTTTATAACGAGAGTGTGTTGTATTAAAACTCATAATTTATAAGAATATCAAAACATTTGTATTACATGTAGTCAATCAGAGGGGGTAATAGATATAAGCGTGTAGGTGACTTAATAACCACTTTAACCAGCTTATGTAATAACTAAATTAAATCTGATTGCTTAGCATTTCCTTTGAACATAAAAATACACTTACCAGGCTCCTATTATCAAACCTAAAGTTTAGACACTAAACAATAACTCTGCAGGGTTATTAGTTAATGGCCTACATTAAGCCACTTAAAAATAATGTCAAATAAAAAACTTTATTTACAGATAACTAATATTTACAAACGATAAGGCTTTTCAGATTTATTAAACCTCCGAGATATGAGTAATAGGAAAATGAATATAACAATAGTTATACAGTAGAAGACAAACTCCATTATAATAAAAATGTCGGGATTTTCCTCAACGAGGGGTCCGAAGAAGAAGGGGGTTATCATCGGACAGATGGCCGACACCAATGCAAATATAGCCGCTATGTTGTCAGTTAGGCCTACGAAGTCTTCGCCAAATTGGAAATATGACGGCCAGATAGCAGAGTATCCGAAACCTATTTATTAGTAATTAATTATTTAATTATATTTTAGTTACGAATTAGGCAGACAGACAGACAGACAGACAGACAGAGAGAGAGAGAGAGAGAGAGAGGAGACTTCTTACCCATCAATACGTTTCCAATCCATACCATGACTTGGGAGGTGCGGCCAAAGTAGAGCACGGCCTGAGAGATGGCCAGTAAGACCATGTGATACATAAGCATAATGTTTGCCTTCACTTTTAGTGCGATGAACGTTGAGATCAATTTGCCGACCGTTAGGCTGGCGTTCAATACGGACAGTACGTCGGCGGCCCGGGAGGCGGACATCTGGACGGCACTCAACTGATAGTAAGTGGAACTGTAGACGAGATGCATGTTCTCCATCGCGCCGTATGTGCTAAGACTGGTAGCTATCAGTGCCACGAATGTCCACTTCATGAGCGCCGACTGCTCGACAATTGGTTTCTTTATAGTGAACTCTTTTATGCTGTGAAGTGTTGCTCTTCTGTCGTCCGGCGACATACCGGTGCCACCCGTTGGGCAGTCTATGTCCTCTTCCAAGTATTTATACCGCTTTACGATAAACATTAATACCATGGATATCGGGACTGTACATGAACAATTTGTGATAATGTTTTCAATTAGTTTAGTTTTAAAAAGTTGTTGGTTTATAATTTATCTATAAATCTCAAGTGAAGTATTGAAAACTTGATAAAACTATAAACTTTTTATTATATTATTATAGAATATTCTGTTATGTATAAGTTTTAATATAGAAATAAGTGAGTTATATATTATTATATTATATGAAATAATAAGATAATTTACTTATAAGGTTAGCGATTCCTCCCACAAGGAATGGTAGCTCGAGGTCAGCCCTTCGCTCAATCGACTGGTTATAGTCATCTATGGCCTCATCGCCAGTAGCAGTGCTGTGAGTTTTATTAAGAAACTCGTAGAGTGTGAAGTTATCAGGGACTATTTTGCCCTTAATGAATGGTCCAGCTAATAACGGGGCCACAACCATACCGACCCCACTGGAGGCTTTGGCCAACTGGAGTACCGGTGCGCTGTTGTGTTGCCACATCTCAATCACCCAAACGGTGGTTCCCATGTCGAAGGACGACACCCCGGCGTTCACCAGAATTGAACACAAATACAATTGCCATAATTGGGTGCACATGGGCTGCAACAGTCCGAACACCCCTATCAGTGCTGACATTATTACTAATACTATTTGTCGGTTTAGGAATTTATAGGAGAAGCCCACTATAAACAGATAATTCACAGTTAGCTAGTTAATCTCTCTCTCTCTCTCTCTCTCTCTCAAAATAAATAATGCTTTACCTAAAGATCCCAAAAAGTAACCAACATAACTAAATGTATTGGTATATGATATTAACGTAGTGGTCGTCCCAAACATGTATTTCATATCAATCATTACCGGTCCGAATATGTATACAATTAAACACTAATAATATGAACAAATTTAGAGCTTTTTATTAGATTTGAAAATTATGCGAATAATAATTGAGGTAAAGCTTACATAGACACATCCAAATGATAATATAATGGTTGTGTAAATATATTTATCCCATTGTTTACGGAAATTAAATGACTTTTTCTCGGCTTTCTCCACACGACTCGTACTTCTCTGAAGAAATCCTCCAAAATTATTACTAATCACTGAATTCTTGCGGAAATCGTTATCCATTTTACTTAGTGTTTATTTACTATAGTTTTCTTAAATAATTATATTTCAATCAATAATAAATAATTCATTTAATGCTTCGTATTTATATAGTTGTACTGGATTGCCTAACTATGGGCAAAACATGTACTGGATTATTTGATTAATAATTACGTGAAATTGGTTTTGGAAATTTTTTTTAATCCTCTCCTCTTAAGTCTTTTACAATAAACTTACGTTATAATGAAACTCATGTATGATTTTCATTATGAATATATTGTATTTTTTTGGTAATTACTGAAATTGTTTGTATTACTGGAAATAATCGGCATTACTTTAAGTGCATTGAACAAATACAATTTAGATTTCTTATAAGAGGTACAAATGTTTAGATAATAAGACAAAACATTAGATAATAATATCATTGACTAATCTAATGTACAGAATCTTGTAGTTGTATTTAATTATCATAGTATGGAACCACTTATTAAAATTTAGTGCCGATCGCACTAATATCATACCATGGTACGGCTATTGTTATAGATTTTCTTATTGAATAATGTACTAAATACATAAGATAAATCAAAATTTACTGTAATTTATTGTTTATAGTACAATAATGAAAATCAGTTCTTTGTGTACAATAGGTTTGAATTTAATCTTTAAAAATTTTTACTAAAAATAGTTGATTAGAAAAATTCATAAAATTCTTGAATATTCAAATCTAATCCATTGTCTGACTTGGATATCTCACCCAGGGATTGACGACATTTAATTACATTGATGTTGGAAATATGATTACCTATTACCGCATGGTTTGTTCATTACCTTTCTCACTTTAAGGAATTCAATAATCATTCAATAAAATACTTATCTATAGTTTGCATAATTAATGCGTAAGAAATAAAATGCCATT